TATCCAGAAATTTGTGAGTATTAATATATTTTTAGTATAAATTTCAGTCAAGCGAAACCATTAGTGAAAGTTACCAAAAATAAGAAATTTAGTCAGGTTTTGGGTACGCCAAGTGGCTTAATTATAGGTACTTTTAATATTTTATGAAGGCCATAAAAAGCTTTCTTTTAGATTCCGGACATTTCAGTGCTTCAAAACAATAATTAAGGATTGTTGCGTGCAACTGTTCAACAATAATAAGAGGAAAAAGAAAATAACTCACGAATGCGTAATGACCTAGCTTCTCATTCAATTTTATTCAATGTTAAAGAATCTACTGATAACATAGTTAGCATAGCATGATAAAAGCTTTCAGTTAGATTATACCAGTAGTTGTATCTGTTAAGTATAGGAATCCCAAAACCAAAGTAGCTATTCTTATTTCCAACATTTTAACAAATTTAACTTGGAATAAAATATTAAAAAATAATAATTAACTGTTATCACATTTTAACCCAAACTTTTTAGTCGACTGTAACTTTTCTATAGATTGACGACACGTTTGGCTCAGTTTGTAATGACCCTACTTGCTGCGCCAGCGGTCGCGGGTTCGAGTCCCGCTGGGGGCATTCATTTGTGTAATGAGCACGAATGTTTGTACTCCAGTCATGGATGTTTATATTTATAACATGTATGTACTTAAAGTTAAATATGTATAATGTATCAACTATCTGGTATCCATAACACAAGCCTCGTAGCTTACCATGGAACTAGTTGGTGTTATGTGTTAATGTCCTGACATATATTTTATTTATTTTTCTATAGATTTGCTAGTTAGTGTTTTTCTTTACTGTATTTCATAAGAAAGTATTAAATCGGCCATTTGGTGAAGTAGCAAAGAAACTCGATCCATTAGAGGGTATTAACGGAGATATAATCCGTAACATCCGCGTACGTACCCCCTCTGTTAAGGAATTAGCAACATAGAGGAAATGATAGATCATAATGGAAACAAAACTGTCTTTCTAGATTCTTGATCGGGTTCTTTTGATATGTAACCTGGTCTCGACATATTAGTAAGTGGAAAAAAATCTAAGTATATACTTACTATAATAATGATGTTAAGTAAGAAATTTTAAAAAATTGCGCTTGCAAGTAGTTTGGGAAAAAAAAGAAGCCAAATTAACTGTTAACATATATTTTTTCTTTCTCGTTATTTCTAATTCGAGAAAGACCAGTATGAATGTTATTTAATGTATATTTTAATTATCATCTTAGGCATTATTTTATTTAATAAGGTATATATAAAATTATTATAATATAATTGTGTTTAAAGATATTAAAGTTTTAGTTCCCCGTTCTTCGATCTCACATATAAAGTAGAGTCATGTCATTATTTCAGTGTTTGGGTAGTGAAACAGGTAAAAATGTACCGACTGATGAAGCTTACGTCAGTAATTTAAAAATCAATCCTTCAAAGACGAAATAATCTTTAATATTTAAAAATATTGTATTTAATAGCTTCAATCTATCGAAGAACATGGCTGATAGCCCAATATTACATAAAATTTTATTGCAAAATTGCAATTGTAAAATGATTTCCAATAGTAGTAACAGATGTTGGATACAATGCGCGTCAACACGACATAAATATTGGCCTAATAGTCGGAACTGTGATATTGATACGCCGATGAAATTTGTCAAGGCTTTTGTGAGTAGTTCCGGCTGCAATAGTTCAATGAATGAAATGCAACAAAAAGTCTTTGTTAAAAGGAATGTACCCAGATAGATAATAGAAGCCAGATTATAATCAACGTAGTACACAATGGCACTTACCAAAGTGTGAGAAGATGATTCTGATAATTTTATACATAATTTGAATGAAAATTTTCGAGTTAATTATTAAAATATTTTTTTTTTCGTTATTAATTAAGAAAAAATATTACTTAAAGAATGGAACGCAAATACAAGCAAAAAACGCCTTTGATATATTATGTACATATTTCATACATTTCAGACGTTACATTAAAAAAACATCTTGATAAAAAAAATCATATCATTTTCCTGCAAATATTTTACTTTATTAACAAGAATATACTTAGTTATTTAAAGAATTATACTACCATGAGCGTAATTTCTTATATGTACATATGTATATAGTAGATATACCACATCTGTATTCCTTTAAACAGGTTTCAAGCACCAAGCTCGAAACCGGTAAAATAATCACAGATAATTACAGTAGACTAATCGAAAAGAATTTTATTGGAAAATTGAGAAAAAATTAAATTGTAGCATAAAATTTATACCTTTATTGCCAATAAAACAGTGCCACATCTCGCATATCCGACACCCACTAGCACATGGCAGGATAATGAATGACATGTATAAGCCGTTAATTAATATACCTAGATCTATTTATATATATTCTCAGATTAAATTAACTGCTTTTTCGTTTTATATACATATGTATCACTATTTTTAAGGGTTTCGTATGAACGCAATTTCGTAGGAACCCACCGTTGAAGCCGCATATTTTGACACTCGCAAGGAGAATCGCAAGGAAATCTAAACCTATAGGTACTTCTCGTTGATCTAGAATCATGAACAAATCGGGTAAAAATCGTGTAGCTATATTAATTACAAAGTTCAACTTATTTTAATGTTCCATGTTGCAGGACCCTGTGCGAGTCAGACTCGCACTTGTCAGACTTTTTTTAAACCCGCCTTAATGACAACAAAGTTTGCTTAAAAAACGTTAAAGCACAGCTTATTATACGCAAGTCAAAACAAAGAAGCTAGTAAAACGTAGAACTACGAGTATATTGTAGATTGCTTCAGCGTTGACCATGGCAATAAGGGCCGCAGACTAACAATACATTTTTTCGTTTAAATAACCAATCTAAAGTTTTGTATTACTTACTTGTTAATTTTAGTGGGATATTAAATAAAGCTCAATTCAGAAACTTAGTAAATTATGTCGTTTAGTAAGAATTTGTAATTGAAATATTGAAATATTGAGATATTTTAACGCATTCATGTAGTATTTGTTTTGAAGTATTTTTAAACTGTATCATATTATATTCGCAAATCTACTCTTCTATCAGGATCATTGCATATACCTCTATCTATACCTGCTGATCAAATCGGTTGTATCATAAATGAAGAATTCTTAGCAAGTACATTTAAAAATATTGGGAATCTAAAAAAAGTGCTTTATTCAGATATAGTCATATTATCAATTTGAAGTGTCAGCACACACGTGACGTACTTGAAAAATGATAACGCAATCAAATGATAAGCTTCGAAGAATTTCATAAATCATAACTGACAAATGTTAGGTTTATTTAACACGCCGCAAAGGGCGTGCCTTTCCAAAATATTCCGCCTTCTTAACCACTGCCGAGTCGAATAATTAATAACTTTTTAATTAAAATATCAACTAAGTATCTCGGGGCTTTCTCATTAAAAAGATAAAGAAGGTATGTATATAATATGTTTGTAATGTTTCTTTTCTGATAACCGGTCTTTGTTTATAGAAACGAATAGATAAAAATTAATTAGTATAATTTTCAAAGTTTAAACTGACAAAGTTGTAAATTAAATGGCACAATCACAGTGGCCAATACGACCTGTGATCTCTGTACGGTCCAAATGTTCATATCGATAATAGTTTGTTTGTCCTTTGGTAGACAAATGGTCAGCGTGGACAGCCGTCAATCAAATACTTAAAAATCAGTAGACGAAGTTTCTCCCGTTACGATGGTTGTTGGAGTAATCTTATACTATTTATTTAACTAAATTGTATGATTAGAATACATAAGAATATGTATAAGATTCGTTTTAAATAAGATAGAATTAGGATTTTAATAAGACAAAGTAGTATGTATTTACTTTTTACTATATATACCCATTCACTGACTGCACATATTTCTCCTATAAAATATTTTATTTTGTATGTAATAAGTTCCTGTAATTATTATTAAATATACAGTTACTAATAATTACAGGAAATGAACACTTTTTTTATTAATACTATTAGGTACATTAAAGATAGGCAGTGGTAGCCCAGTGGTAACGCGCACGCTTGGGAAACCGAGTAAAGCGGGCTCAAATCCCGGGTCTCGCACCTCAGATATTTTCATGTGCAAATTATTTCTAACACGATTACCACTTGCCTTACGGTGAAGGAAAACATCGTGAGGAAACCTGCATGTCTGAGATAACCTAGCAAGTTTTCGAAAGACATGTGAAGTCCGCCAACCCACACTTGTCCAGCGTGGTGGACTATGGCCTGAACTCCCTCGTATTGAAGGGAGGCCCGTGCCCAGCAGTGGAACGTTAAAAAAGGGCTGAATAGGTACAATACAATATTAAAGAATAAATTTAGTTTCGTTATGTTCTTTTCCTTGTAAATCAAGTTTTAAATATACAAAGCCTCTGTTTATGTCAGAAAAAGTCCGTTGTTTGTACACATTAAATATATCAGAGTTACGATCAAAGTTCCTAATGTTTTGACTCATGAATGAAATAATTGCAGAATTAAAGCTTTAAGCTTGCTCAAAGCTTTTGTTGTAAATGTTAAATTCTCGTATTCTTATATTTCTTATAAAATTTAAACTTTCTACATTTTAGTATTATCCTAGTAATTATCGCCTAAGGAAACTAAAAGGTGTGCGATTTATCGTAAAACCCAATTTAGAGCCGGGAGGCACGCGATTACAATCTTCTCACGACAGGGAAGGCGCTCAAACTTCTCATCTCCAGGGAAATCACGCACGCAAGAAACTTTATAGCAACACGTCCGAGTGATCCGCCCGAAGCGGCCAAGACGGCTATACCACACACGAGCCGATCAAAAGAAATAACAAGGCGCGGGCAATGCCTCTACGCGGTTTCCTTACATCGTACTCAGTCGCACTTAATGCACTTTTAAAGTTTTCATATCTGCATACAACACTTTCACATCACGAGCTTAACCGCTAGAAGCAATGCCGTTGCCACATACAATAAACACTGACCGTGGTTGAGTATGGCTGCAGACTCAGACGGATGCCGTCTTGAGCCAGACGTTCCCGAAGCAGGCGTTTTAGTTGAATTCGCGGTATTTTCACCAGCTCGGCTTTTCCCTCCTCATACTCATCGGCATATTTAGTCGGTTCTACTGCTACGGTCGCTTGTTCTTTGCGAGTTTCTTCCTCGCACCGGCAAGAGTTTTGGGCGGCCGCGGCCTCCTCTAACGTAAAGTACACGGCTGCTGCACCCTCTTCTCTAAGAATTCTCACAGAGTGCAGCAGCCGTTGACGGTGAGCTGGATTGAGGACACCGATGGCGTCGAGATCGGGTTCACCGACCTGTTTACATATTTCCAAATCGTCGTATCCGTTGTCAATAAAGCTCTCCGCGTATTGGCCCAGGTGGAGCGAACGCAACCACTCGACTACGATGTTGCCGGCTGTCGACGAGGCCATGTCGCGTCAAAACGCGGGGCGCATCACAAGGCGTGCTCACGACGCGGCAGTCGGCGAGAAACTAGCGGCCACGCTCCCCTTTACCCCTGCTTCCCCTCCCTCACAAGCCGCGGTCGCCGTCCCTAAAAACTACGTGCTTTTGCTTTTTGACATTTTGTAGCTTGATCGTTTTATATCTTTATATCTATGATAATATAAGCTACGCGATAGTTATTCTTGCGAATTGCGATTCAAGTGTTACGTAGAAGAATTGTATATTGTAATTAAGAAAATGATTTTATATAGTTTGTTAATTCAAGTAACTTACCTGTTTGTAATTTATTTTGTTTGGTATGGATTATAGAAAAATAGTCAAAATTATTATTATTATCAAGTTTTCGCACTATATTATGTTTTATTATGATCTGAAATAAAAAGTTCAGAATGAACTTTCGTTTTATAAATTAAAGTTTTGATTGAACAGAATTTACTACACTTATAAAAAAATTATAAAAAAAAAACAATTATTGCTTGAAACTGGAGCAGTGCAAAAAGCATTCGCTAAATTTCACTTTATCAACTGCACCTTAAATCTTTTAAACTCGCCTTAAACTTATATTTCGCAAGCAAAAACGAGCACTAGGTTCAAGATTTACTTGTAATAAGTACCTATCTAAATAAGTATATAATCTAAAAAAGTATAATATTTTTTTTATTATAAGTCATGTCCAAAATGAAATTATTTCATAGCGGTTTAAAATGTATTATTTTATTTTATGACTTTTCAATGCGGTTCAGTTTGCTTTAGTTCTTAGAAAGCAATACTATTACAGAAATGTTGTTAGTTACCACAAATACATTACGAAATAATACATTCTCAGAAAAAAGCGAATATTTGACATTTTAAAATTATAGGAAATTTTTCGCGGATTTATTTTAATTTTTGATCTGACGTCTAAAACCATAGTCTATCCCGTGATCATGATTGCTGTAAAGCATTCGAAACGTCGAGAAATCAAAATAAATCCGCGAAAAAGTCCAAAAAGATACCTACAATATTTTAAGATATGAATATCTAATACGTAAATATTATGTAAGTATTTTACTTATCGAAATATATTAGATTTGCTTTGCATAGGCTGGCACAGACGCAAATATCTGATTAGGTATCTATTCGAAATGAAAACCTCCGTTTAGTTATTTTTACATTTCAGTGCCTGGAAGTCGGTTTTTATTTTTTGTTAAAAAGTTTTTATTTTGGTAACCAATTTCATCTTATCAAATTTTTACCACTTTCGTTGCGTTACAAAAACTAACCAAACCATAGATTCATTTCTGTTTAAAATAATATAACTACATGGGTTAGAAATTCCTTTCACGTCTGCAAAATTGTAGTCTATTCGCTCGTATGAAATAAAATGCTAAGCCTAGTGAAGCCAATCGTGATTTTTCTATCACTGACGATATAACCGATTTTGAAATGAAATAAATGTAAACAGAAATTGTTATTGGGAACACTTTTTCACCACCAATCTACGGCTACGCATTTATACAAATAAATGTAAATTGTTTTAGGCTTTTTGAATAGTTTTTGCAAAGTGTAAAATAATGCAGTTATATAAGCTTCTAACGTATGTATCATATCTATAAAATACGTTCCTTACATACTTATAAATCTCAATATACCTTCTTTTTTTTTTGTTGTCGCTGGGGAAACCCATCATGGGGACCCTGCCCGCCGTCATAACAGACAAGGTACTGTGAGATTCCTACTCACTAAAACCCACAGCGGAACCCGTCGCCGCAGTGCAATGGGGCGTTGCAGGATCGCTTGCGCATTCACTACAAAATCTCAATATACCTAAAACTTATGTATCTCGCACAGTCTTCGTATGATTAGCATATTACAAAATCTGTAACACAGCACTGTAGCACGGAACAACTCAACAAAGTTTCATCGCAATCGGATAAGTCATTTAAAAATACACACGTTAGTAACTGATAAATATACTTTTTTTATATATATTTTATAAGATTAACTGTAGTCAGCTGTATCGCTGTTAAGCTATAGCCAGAAAAGTAAAAAAAAATAATAAATGATGAACAATGCAAAAGGTAATTTATTGTTAAATAGTAATCTAAAATCTGTAGAATTGGTTTTTACTACATATATCCCAAGCAATCCCTATATTTAAAAAAAAACACCTACAATTTTAATATTAACAAATGTACCTACAGATGTAAAAAGATTACACTAGATATTTTAATTTTTAGTGCATTAACTTATAGACACTTGACTACTCGATAAAATAGGTTATAATGTATGTCTTGTCTTTATAATATTACAATAGATATAAAACAATTACATAATATACAAGAGCGTATGGATGATCACGTTTCATGGAGAAATTCTACACTGTCACTAACCTTCATATACCTGCACCGACATTGCTTGTAAATTATAGGATATTAAATTTTACTGGAATATTCTAGAAAAATACTCTCTGGTTATGATATTTTATTATCTTTAATAACAATGTTATATTTGTTATATCCGGAATTTTATATGAGAAGGCTAATAGAGTTAAGGTACTAAAATTAGTTTTTAGTCTAAGGAGTTTCTAGCGCGAATGTAAAAGCTAAAAGTGCTATCTTCATACGTATTAGCTGACATAGCTGAGAGGTATGGGTGGTCACGTTTTGGTTTCGTTCACCTCTCGTCGCTAGAATTCTCAGTGAGGTGACACGGATGCTTCTAGACACTTCTATAAGATGAGATTCTTTAACATCTCTAAACATATAATAAAATTCTAAGTCGAATCCGTACATTAAATATTTTTTTGGAAAATCTTATTGAAATAGACATTATTATCGATACAAAGACCGAATCTATAGTTTTTAGAATTTTTGTCAGTCTGTCTGTTACCACATCACAGAAAAACCGCTGGAGGGATTTTGATGAAAGGAGAATGCCCACCGTAGTATGGACTTTAGTTTCGCTTTCAAAAATTTTGTGCCATGATGATATTTACTACATTTTGTAGGTTCCTTAGTGTACATTTAATTAAAAAAAACGCTGCATCTCTAGCTCGACGGGTAATATGAAAAAAAAGTCACAACAAAAGTGGTTTTATACCCTTCTTCATTCATTTTGTTTTTTATTTACATTTGAAGTTTTAACCATCTGTAAATGTTTTATTATGATCTGAATGCAAGTAAGTGAATGCTTTAGTTTACTCTAGATTATAAGAAAATAGAAAGACAACAACAAAAACCACTGACACAATAACAAACGAACATATAAGGACGAAAGTAGGTACGTCAGTAAAATGAAACCGTTTCACATTTGACTTATTTGTCATCTTTCAAGTGAATGTCGCATTGTTGCCAGTTGAAGATCGATTAATCGATTCTGATTGACAAAACACTAAAACAGGACACTTTCAGATAGATTAATCAAATAAACTCATATTATTATCAAATAAAAATTGATTTTCTTTATTATTTAACATGTTATTATGAACTGCCAATTCGATATTTTAATAAAATAAATATAAATGTATCGATTATACCTTGGTGAGTCGATACGCTCGTACGAAAATGGCAATACTGAGGATTCAAATGTCAATAACAAAAAATACTTGGGAATTGCAAGTAAAACGGAAATGAATAAATTACTGCTTAATATGTGGATTTTTATCCGTCGAAGTTATGGCTAAGTATTTTACAATGGCTAGTGAAAATTAAAAACTTAGTTTTTAATATTAATTTGGTTTAGGCACAACGACGTGGAAAGAGGAAACCACGTATGGGCATTCCCCTTGGTGATAGCTGGTTATTCGGGTCAACATATAGGATACTTTTTACCGCGGGAAAATATCTCATTTCTGAGAAAAAATACAAAAACTGCATAGTAAGAGTATAATGTATACTAATATGTAATACTTAAGAAATTGGTTTTTGGTCATCTGAACGCGTGCGGAGCTGCGGGCAGTGCTAGTTATATATAAATCGAGGTCCATCTATTTAATTTTGAAGTAAAATTAAATTATTGTAAAATTAATTTAATTTACTTTAACATGCACTTTTATACTTAGGTGACCCCACGCATATTTCATCGATAGATTAAATTAGTTACACTATGTATTTGTATTATTAGTTTAACATATTGTGTACATTTTAAATAAAACTATCTTTTCGGATTTTGTCGCGGATTTATTTGTATTTTTGTTTCCCGACGTTTCGAATGCTTTACAGCATCCATGGTCACGGATGCTGTAAAGCATTCGAAACGTCGGGAAACAAAAATAGAAATAAATCCGCGACAAAATCCGAAAAGATAGTTTTATTTAAAATGTCAAATATTCGCGTAAATCTAAGAAAGTAATATTGTGTACATACTAATAAATCTCCAACCTTTCGATACGACTCGCACGCCATCTATTGTTTGTCGACAGTGTCAGAGAGTACCTATAGAAGATAAACACAATATTGTGTCAGATAATTTTAATAATAATTTTTAAAATGATAAGCTAAAGCTAATATGAAATTGTTTAATTTATTTAAAATATTTAAATATGATAAACTATTGTAAAAACAAGTAGAAATTTTTGAACCTCAATTTTTAAGAACTTTTAACAAGTTTAATATTAAATTTTCTAAAGAACTTGTTCCTCCCACTCAAGCGCTACTACTGCTTTTTGTTTTGTTTATGAATTAAGAAAAATCTTGATCTAAAATTTATGTACAGGTATTATTCAATAGAGCCACAAGGCATTAAAGCTTTTATGATAGGTATATTATGTTACTTTCATACACTATATATGATGAACTCAATATTTTCAAGCATAATACTTCATTCGTTTTCATATCGACAACGATAGAAAAACTAATAGCACGATTATCAAAAATAGTATTAAAAAATTCACCATCTATATTTTTGTTTAGGGGATTAGTTTTGAACTACGGTTGTTGATGCGATTTTTCAGTATCATTCATTCATTTATGTCTGTAGTCCTTCA